GCGCCGACATGTCGTAGGCTTCCGTGTCCTGCTCGCCGCCGCCCTCGTCGTTGTACTTGATGACGTTGTCCCGCATGTCCTCGTCCTCGTCGGAGCTCAGGTGGCTCTTGTGGTGGCGTCTGAGGGTGAGGATCAGCAGCACCAGCACTGCGGGCAGGACCGAAGGGACAAGTGAGGGTCCCGCCCCGCCCCGCCCTGGGCATTTCCCCCGTCCTCGTCGGAGCTCAGGTGGCTCTTGTGGTGGCGTCTGAGGGTGAGGATCAGCAGCACCAGCACTGCGGGCAGGACCGAAGGGACAAGTGAGGGTCCCGCCCCGCCCCGCCCTGGGCATTTCCCCGACGACCCACCCGGCTTCGCACCGTCCTGCAGGCCGGCTTCACTGTTCCCTGACTTCCCATCGCAAACTCCTTGCATCAGAACTGAGTTGACTGGAGAGGGAGTGAGCTACCCATCTCCCGAGGTGTGCGAATCAAGGACAGGCCACCGCCCGCGCCGCTGAAGAGGGCAGGGTTAGGGTTTCATGGGTATTGAGGGCCGGATTCCACCTGGGGTCTGTGTTCTCCCCTCTGTGAGATATGCTCCCTCAGGACCTAAGTGCTGAAGGAGGTGACGGGCAGTGGGCGGCAGGCGAAGCTGGGTCAGTGACAGGTGTCCTGACCCTGACCCCCACCCAGGCCCTTCTCTGCCCACTCCCAAGTCCTGCGCTCCCCCTGAGGCAGAGACCTGCAGGAACTCTCCCGGAGAGGTCCTGGCGGGGACAATGCCTCATCTCCAAGGTCCCCTGGGAGTGGGTTCCTTTCTCCATGACACCTGTTCTCCCAGTGTGACCCTGGGGACAGCCGCTGCCTCAGGGAACCTGTGAGAAATGCACCCAGTTCCTGCCTTAGGTCTCCTGGGTGAGGGCCAGGGTCTGAGCAAGGCCCCCCGAGGAAGAAGAGGCAGCTCCACAGACCAGACCTGCTGTTAAGCCATTTGCCTTCCCCACCCCAGATACATGCCCTGACTGCCCTGCAGTGGGGGGACTTGGCCTGGCGCCTGGCTACAGGAAGCACCTGAGCATGCTTGGTGAGTGAGTGAGTGATGGACTGATGGGTGGGTGAAGGTGGGAAGGGGAGGGAAAGGGGAGTGAGTGAGTGAACCACCTCTTGGCCTTCCATAGGACTTCCAGGACTCCCATCTCGCTTACTCAGGCTTTTTGTGTGTGTGTGTGAAGAGTTTTTTTTTTTTTGCTATAGGGCGTGTGCTTTCACCAAAAAGACAGAGACAGAGAGACAGAAAGCGAGAAATCACCCCCCAGGGGGGA